AAAAAAAAAAAACTTAATATATATATAATGATAGTAACTATAATGTACATTGAACGTACTTATAAAATCCTTCGGAATTATTACTATTAAATTCTTGTTGAGTCATTTGATTTTTCCACACTGGGGATTCCGATGCCGATGGTAGAGTACTCGGATTTGAAGCAGGCGTCATAATTCGTTTATCTCTATGGAATTTATAAAATACAAGTGTCTTTGGTTAAATAATTTTCTTTTAGTTGAAAGCATACTTATACCCAGCTTGACCAGCCAAACTTTTAAAAACATCATCCACTTGTGAATAGAATTTCCACGTGCTTATAATACCGGTTGTTTCGAAGGTTTTCTGTTCTTGTCTAAATACGAATAAAGCGGTTACAGAATAATGTTTTGTGTTTAGATAATGATGTTTTTGTTTTATTTCTTTACTAGGTACATGTTTACTAACCTGTAGCGTTGGGTTAAGTTATTTACTTTAAAATGTACTTCTAGCGCTGTCACAGGTACACCCAAAGCAGTTAACTGCTTTGCCATAGCCACATACAAATGGCCATTGCGTTTTATGGTGCGCAACTCATAGGCGCAGACTTTCCACAGCTTGATTAATTCTAAAACACCATTATCCTCCCATTGTCGACGCTTTTTATTGAATTTTTCATACTACGAAAAATAGGGATACGTATTACTACACATGTAAAAGAGTATGTTGATGAATAATTGGTGTGGATAAGCTATACTTACAGGCATTTCACATGGGTCTCATAAAGGAAGAATGCAATTCTCGAAGAACCTCCGCTATCACGATCCCGAACAGTACAGCGAAGTCTTTATTAAAATCGACCAGTTTAATTCACAAAAGCTATGATATGCATCTCTGTGAAAAAGAAGTTGGTTGAAATTACTAAAAGGTAATCAAAAATAAAACTGTACATATATTAATGTGTAGAAGGCATGCCTAAGTTCATTTTGATTCAACATCTACTGAAATAAAGCAAAAACGTAGTGGTAGTTAATCTTTTGCGTTATCATCATTTTGGATACTTTCTTTGGTTGCAGAGTCCACCCACTTTGCGCGCACACTTCAACTTGAAAGATATCAACGATCAAAACAAAAAAGAAAATTGCTTAATTATGAATAAAAAAGATTCGATAATGATGACGTTTTTAATATCAACTTGTTCAAGCGCAATTAACCAAGAAGAACAAAAACAATCGTTCGAAAATGAACTACGGATATGCATATAGCGGCACGCAAAAAATAAACAAATGTGTGTATTAGAATGTGCTCTCTTATTACCATTTCGACCGGAGTGTTTAGAAAAGTCCACACTTTACTACTTTCATCAAAATTCCTGCAACAATTTGTTATAGATCTTTTTCTAATCGCAAAATAAAATCACTGATAAAAAACCACTGGCGTTATTGAATAGCAGAATCGTGTACACCATTTTTTTTCTCTCTCTTGTAATTATCGTTTTCTCACTCTCAGCACCTGCGTAAACTGAGAAACATTATGAAAAAGAGGAACAACAACAGAATCATCAGCTTCATAAATGCAGTTTCGTAGCAAGCAAGGAAATAATTTCACATACTTTGGTGATAATTACAGATTTGGAATGATCATTAAAAAAAAAAAGCATCCATACATATCCCCTGACCGAGCATGTATACATACGTATATATGGTACATATGTATGTACTCTGCAGCACTGTGGTTGTATTGAATACATTCTATGCAGCCGAAACGTTTGGCTGATTTAATTTTGTAAACAATCTGCTTTAGAAATTGGCACAAAGGTAATCTGCATTAGTTTTAACACAACACGATATACGCCAAGGTAAGCAAAGGCACACTTTGGTTAGCTGGCATCATAGAGCAGTGAACAACTTATACTAAAGCGGATATTCAAGTATACTAAACCGACAAGCGAAGAAGATGCAGATGCGCTCTCTGCATCAGACAACCTGGGCGCGAGATGCCACCGACGATACTTTCGTCAGTTGCTACACTTGTCAGCGGCTGCTGTTGTCTCCGCAATTTAACCAGAAACAAGATGGGGGCTGCTACTGCACTAAGCTTTATTTCGCATATATGTACATACATACCTACGTAGTTTAATGCATAGACAAGTAGTATGCTTGTACTAAACATTTGTATAAATGCCATATTTACATACGTACATACAAATATTCGTATTTTTGTATGTATGCATGATTGTGAACCTCATCGCCATCACAGTTGCTCCCCATCAAACCTAATTACAATTTCAAAAAACGAGTCTAATGACCATTTCATTTTCTTCCTCCTTTTCTTTACGCAGTTCGTTTGTTCGGTTCATTATGTTGCTTGGCCCTTAATTTCGTTTCACTATTTATTTCATTTCTCTTTTTGTACCCACATATGTATGTATTTAGAACCTTAATTCGCCTCCACTCACATATCTTCTATCCAATTTGCCTGATTGGCGAGCTGGATATGTACTTAGTTGCTGATTGCTAATACACACTCCACTAATGAAGTTCCAGCAATTCAATTTATTTCTTATATTAACTGAGTTGCTCTTATCCTTCTTTTTGGTTTCTTGCTTTTGAAAAACTTAATCAATATGTTATCGTTCGTTGGGGCTTATGGCCGAAAAGTAAATGATGTAATTAATATAATGACAATTCCAAATCGCTATCTTTCAACACTGTACGGCTTTGACTCTCCGCGCACACCAACATAACACAACCGAAGCACAAAGACGTTGAATCGGAACTAAACAATCGGCCATGTCGTCGCCGCCATTGCGTCCGCTGTCGCAGCGGATATTTCTGCTGCTGCGACGCCAGCGTTTGGATTCTCTCTTGTAATTTACCCCCACCTCAATCTTAATTATGATGTTGTGTGGAGATAATTGTATTTAAGAACAAGATTGCATGCAATGATGGTTAGCCCAGTTACGTATGTAGCTGTTGGGGGGTTGAACGTCTGGGAAGAACATAAATAGCAGATACATGAATCCAAACAGTGCGTTTGTACCAGGCATGCCCAACGCCGGCAGAACTCCACAAGCAAGTGCCCTGCGCTGGCAGAATTCTATAGGCAAGTGCCTTGCGCTGGGCACGGCTGGTTTGTACATACATACATATCCTTGCATGCGTTAGGGGCATAGATGACCCTTTCATGTCACTGAGGGTCATTTCCTATCAAAACCAAGAACTAATAAACCTATTTTGTCCAACGTCGTACAAGAATTTGTTATTGGCTTAAAATCATCACTCGGGAGAAGTCCATGCTTTGAATATGTCTTAAATACCCCTAATTCCGAGCCCGTAATCCATTCCACCCCCTAGGCCCAATGCATTTGAAGCGACTTTTTTTTGGACAACTGTACATGTACTATTAAAGATTGGTCGCAAGTGACATAGAGTTATAATTAATATTTACTAGTATCCCTGCGCCAAATATCGGAAGACACCGATCCTTCTAAAAATGTTAGCACAAAACAACAATCATTCAATGCGATTTTAAAATCTGGGAGAAAATGGTCCCCATATGAATGTTTATTGCGATTTTATATGTGTATAAATGTAGGTGTATAAAATTCCATTACCTTATAATAAGTGCTTCCAGAGATACGGGATATAGAATTTAACTTTGTATGGGCAGTGCCACGCCCCCTTTTCCAAAATCTACCATTTTTCTCCGTAAGTATGGTATTGACAACATATGTATGTTGTTGTGTCAAATTTCAGGACGTTAGCATAGGCGGTTCCAGAGATAAGCGATGTGATGATTTCAGTTGGCCCCCTTTCTCATTATCTAACACTTTTCGTCATAAGTGCGTTAATGATATCATAAATAGCTGTGTCACATTTCAGGACGCCTATGTTTATAGGTGGTTCCAGAGATAAGCGATATGAGAACTTCAGTTTGTATGAGCGGTGCCACGCCCCCTTTTCCAAAATCTGTCACTTTTCGCCATAAGTACTCAATACCGTACATATGTTGCTGTGTCCAATTTCAGGACGTTAGGATAAGTGGTTCCAGAGATAAGCGATGTGATGATTTCAGTTTGTATGGGAAGTGCCACGCCCACTTTCCCAGTACCTACCAGTTTTCACCGTAAGTAGGGTATTTACAATCTATACATCTGTGCTAAGTTTCAGTTCCCCAGCATAATTGGTTTTAGAGATATAGTGGTTTTCACATTTTAGTCTATATGTCAGATGCCACGCCCCCTATGTATCGGGGTTATTATTTCTGGATTAGAGGAATTTATATCCTTTACAACAGTGTATGTTTCATTGAAATCGAGCGAACGGTGCCTTCAAAAGGAGGATTGCAAAATTTTCTTGTGGCGTATTTACATATATATAGATATAGATAAACGTCGATATATGTATGTATGCTTTGTTTTTTAATAACAACCTAAATTATCCTGGGTCTAATTTCTTTACAATTTTCGTTTGTTGGTCGTAATTTTGGGTCATTTGAGATATTGCTTTGTCAGGGAAAAGCTTGTGTTTTTGTTGTAACAGCATACAAATTGCCCAAAGAAGATGGTGAGGGAATGATGTAGGAGTGACAGTC